ACAAAGCAAAAATTCACGTCACCAACCAATCGAAAAAACGCAGTACGAACGCCCCTCTACTGACAACAAATAAAAAGAGAGCATAGTAAGGTCAAAATGGTTGTTTGTACTAAATAGGCAGTTTATATGAATAAAGGTATTTAACTTAAATGAAAAACAATGACTCTCACATTTTAGTTAAACAAGTATTATTTGAGGTATGAGTTGTTTTCAGAAAAAAATTGGCGCCTATTTATGTGGAATATCCAACTCTTTTCTTTTTTACAAAACAATATAGCGCTATTTTATTTATGAATATTGCATTAAATGAAACAGTTTTTAAATTTCTTAGCTTTTTCAATATTTTTCTTCTTCCTCCACGAAATAATTAGGATAGTATATGACGAGTTTAATTATATCATCTCGATGATGGAATATACTTGTGTATTTCTTCCGGTTGAGTACGTCGTTTTTTCACTTACAAATAATTAGTGACATACAACAGTCATTTTTATTAATTATTAGAATTTATTTTTATTACTATCTCAAAAATAATAATTATTTCTTGTTGATAAGAAAACAACATTCACAACTATTCACTTCTCGTCTGCCAGTATCTAAGGAAGTTAAGACAGAGCATTTTCTATTTTTGTTTTTAAAATATAGTTTACTTGCGCAGACTTTTATCATTCTGCAAAGTAAACATTAGCTAAATTATTAATACAAACTTCGTGACAATTTTTTTGTGATAAAAATGAATTTTAAAAAATAGAAATAAATTATAATTTTTATACTTTGTATGTCTTCATTCATATATATCAACATTTCGGACGATAATAAAGGAGCATCAACTTGACTATAGAAAAAAAAAAGACTTTCGAATAATTATTTTCTCTAGTTTTTGTTTCGGACAACTATTATATATATAATATAGAAAAAGTTTGTTGAATCATCTTTGCATATATTTCACAATGAAATTAGTTGTCTCGATTGATCATTTTTATTTTAGTATTTTTTTAAGATGAATTACATTCATATGAATATTAAAATGTTCCTGTATAAATAATGCTGTAAAGATACTATTAAATGACTATTATCTGTATTATTCTCACTACAATAAACAAATAATTACATGTCTGAAAGCCAGACAAGAAAATCCATTAAATCTGAAATTTTGTCAAGTATTTAGTGATAATGTATATGTTATCATTTATGGCGCACTTTCTTGTAGATAACGTAAAACGTAGTTTCGTAGCAATGTTATTTTTTACAAATATATCTATTGCATATTGTTACAAATAATTTCTGCTTTTTTTCCTAAGATTATGTGAATTGAATATGGAAATACGATGATCATGTGTTATGTGTCATCTTGCCTAATCTTTGATGATGGATATGAGTTCAAAATTGATTCACAGTACAGATAAAATATCCATCATCAACGAGATCAAATAAAAGTTTAGCTATAATGTTCAAATAAATCATCTTACATATAAATTAATACTGAAAGTATCAACAACATGATTATAGTTTTTTGAAATTTTTTTCTTGTGGATCAACCTGTAAAGTACGTTCAATTTTTCGAATACAATCTTGTCGATCAGACAGCATGTTGATAGAATTGATTTGTATTTCATACAGCAATTTCTATTGCCTAAAATATGTCTTTTTATGTTTATGTATAAACTTTATCTTATCAAGAGCATGGTATATATATAAGCTGAACAAAAATATTGTTTATTGTATCTTTCCTAAGTAATACACGGGTGGATAGGATCGTCGAAACCTTGCAATGGCCAAGAGAAACAAAAAACAAAATTTTGGTGAGATAAAACATCGTTATTGTATACATTTCGAAAGTGAAAAAATGTGTCCAGTTAGTTTTTGTTCAGCCTGTTCAGAGGTTATGTTGTTTATACGTAAACGGTTAATAGAAACTACATAAATGCTCTTGTTTTTTATTGTATATAGCCTATGGTGCAACTGTTCACATTGAAACTGTTGCCCGATAATTGGTCCTGTTTGCATACGTCTGACGGGACATTACTTTCGATTATGATATATGCTCATAATGTATTCATTTATAGAAATAGATGATTATTCAATACAGTTTTCATGGCTTAGTAACTTGATTTCACTTGATTTATTACATTTTTTCTTGATTCTATCAAATATGTTGTAGAAATATTGAGACAAATGACGTGTTCAAATCTGATTGATTGGTTACAAACCTTTCGACAAATTCTGTATGGATCGATAGGATTCCAATTCGATTCTGTCTTAAGAAGTATAAATATTAGCAAATTTCCAATAAAGAAAAAGGTAATTTACTATCGTCTTTTAGAAGCTTCTCCTGTGTGCCTTTGGTACAAGTATTCAACAATGAACTATGCCAGTAACCCAAGTTATCATCACCTAATAGACGATGTTACTGAGAAAGCTAAAACAACGCTTAACATTCATTAGACAAACAAGCTTCTTTGTTGAAAAAAAATATGGGATATCCATATTGAATTAACACCTCTCGATTATTTCCAGTTTTATTATAACAAACAATAAGAGGTACAGTCGAATTTTGATAGACAATATTATAATACCATCGGATTTTGTGATGGGAAACTCCATTTTTCTTATTTTCGTTCAAATTTTCTCAAAAATCTAAATGAAGAAAAAGAAAGATGAGAAATTACCTGATTTAGTAACTTAAAATATAAATCGAAAAGTATCTTTTTCAATATTACTATCTGAATTTTCATAAGAGAATATTTTAATCATAGGCTGACACTTGTATAAGAAGATATTCGAAGAACGAATGCTTTTTTTAAAGATATATTTAGTGGTGAAACCTGCGCTTGGTCCTACCCTACGAATTTTTTCTGACTCTATAACTAGATATATTAGAAATCAATCGCGTCAGTAATCACATTAATTGAATTATTTGTAGTGACCAGTAAGAGTCAATAGTATTTATTTTTTATCAATATCGAATACACAAGACGAATCTTTTATGAATTTTTTCTTTTGCTTGTCTTTCTTTTGCATAAGTTGCTTTAAAAAGTTAATGTATATCTATAGTATATAAATTCTAAACAAATGAAAGATTGATAAATAGAAAGTATACTGACTAGTAGCGGCTCCAGGATTTCAGTTCAGGGTGGGCTCATCATGGGTTTAGCCCACCCTAACCTACCCAAAGTGTTCTTTTTACATAGCTTTCAAAATCTCTCAGGGTGGGCTCGATGTAAATCAGGATGGGCTGAGCCCACCCTGGCCCACCCCTGGCGCCGCCACTAATACTGACTTGAAATAAAAAGTTAATAATAGTATAACAATAACTAACGTTGTAGATATTAATTAAAGATAATTCTTGGAGAATGATCTATCCACTGATGTGTATTATATATTAGATTTAAAGTATTCGAATCATTGTTTTTTTTTTTCGAAAGAAATATGCATATAAAAAAAGTAAAGAAATGTATTGTTGACTTTTTATTTTGTCAATACATTATGAATCAAAATGAAAGCTCCATCGATAGTATTCGAAAATAAATGACACACTTTATCATATGATACTTACAATATTTAATAAAATATTTTATATCGATATATCATCTTCCTGAATTATCTTTATTAAGAATTAAAAAACTATTTTTATTCGAAAATGAACGCAATTGTTTTCACACTTTGTTTGTTATTTAAATTCTACAAATAACTATATTAACTGGGTAGTATCATTGCTGTATCAAAACGACAGAACAGAAAAAATGTTTTCGAAAGTTTATCTAGTGTCTATGGAAGGAAAGAAAAAGAAAAATAACGGAGGGTAAGAAAGTGCACTGTGAGACACAGAACAAAAGAAAACAAAAAAATGTACTCCTTATTCACACTTTATGTCTTTCGTACAACGGTTTAATGTAAGTAGTTTGATAATAATCCATAATAACACGGAAAGCATCGAATTCATTGATATCTTAGATGAAGAAGTTTTTGGAAAAAGTTTGTTTTGGATATAAACTAATAGCATAATCTTATCAAACTAATCAACATGATGAATATAAAAAGTGTAGTAGAAATAAATATTGATCAGTACTTGTATTTTTTATCTCGGAAATTTTCTTTTTTTTTTGTTAGCTAATCAAACCAATATTTTATAAGTTTATTTATTTTTCATTGCTGTAGCTGAATGAATATATATATCATGGAATCTACCCTACCTTCAATCGTATTGTTGTTATCTATATAACAAATCTACTTTTTCCTAATAAATAGGTATCTTTCATGCTTATTGTGTTTTTGTTCTTTTTTTTGTTACTAACTAAAATATATGATATTTTTATTTTAGGAGAACATAATGTTAAGAAAAATAAAAGCAATGTTCATCATTTAATAGTATCAATTGGTACTAAAATAAAATTTTGATTACTTGTATTGCTGACATTTTTGCCATAAAAAGAATATGTTATGACGCAAAACAATACCAATATATCTGTATGGCTCAATGAATTAATACCATAGTATTACTTCTTCGTACTTTAATATGGAAAAGTTCAGCATGCCCTTTTCTGTATGAGTACCCAGAACTGTCTCAGGCTATAGAATAGATAGAATTTTAAAAAAAACTGACTGGCACATATATGGATATAACCACTACGCTGTTGCTTCTGAAACATAATACCAAAGATATTACATTGCAGCAAAAAATCATAAACCTAGACAAAAGAAAAACGTTTTCTCTATCTTTCAATTTTTGTTACTCGGAAACTAATCGAAAAACTTCTTTGTTTATTCCATAATCATGACATCTAGAGGATAATCATTATTCCGTGTCACAGTAGGATAGACTTTGTGCAAGCAAAGTCATTAATAACAAAGAGATATTTTCATATTAAGATCATGGAATTTTTTTAATTGATCTTTTCTATCTATCCTTAAAATTGATCATATTCAGACAAGTTGTCAATTTGTATTCTAGAATTTTACTGTGAATTTAATACAATATCAAATCCAAACGGTGTTTAACTATGTCATCTTCATTAGAACATACCAATGGCGATACGACTGTAAAGACACAGTTGAAAAAATCATCTAACTTAAGTATTTGTCGAATATGTGGTGACAAAGCACGCTTTATTAATTATGGTGCACTTTCTTGTCAATCATGTAAAACATTCTTTCGTCGTAATGGATTTCATCCACAAGTTTGCATTAAAAATAATAATTACTTTAATAAAAGCCTCTTGGCAATCTATTTTTAATAGACTGATCGTCCGTGTGTTTTTAATACACATTGTGAAATTAATATGCAAACACGACATACTTGTGCAGCTTGTCGTCTTGCTAAATGTCTTATGATGGGTATGAGTCCAGATTTGATTCGTAAAGAAGATTGCAAAAGAACAAAAAACTTATCATCATTAAAACAGAACGATGTTGAGCAAGTTGTATCCAAACCAATAACAGTTAGTACAAAAAATAACATTTTTGTTTGTACTCAAAAAAGTATGTAACAGTAATAAAAGTAACATGAAATTCTACTAAATATATTCAGACGTTGACATCTTTTTTTCTAAAGTATACAATTATTCCTTATGGAAATGTTCCATCTAATCCACTCGATAACTAATGATATGAATAATTGTCTGGAACAACGTATATATCTGAATTTTTTATTTAGTATCTTTATTTCGGTGTGCAATTTCAAAAATGGATTTCTTCTAATATCATCTAATTAAATTGATAAAATAAAAAGAAATTCAATGAAATTCTTTTTTATATCTGGATATGGATGAATAGGAGTAAAATTTCATAAAAATGTTGCTTGCATTATCTTACGATACTATAAAACAATTTGACATATTAAAAATACTAAGGCTTGAACAGATAAATCTCTTTCTTTCATTTAGACTACACAAATAATTACATTGAATTTTCCTCAGGGTGATCGAGCTCATTTTATCAATTCCGATTGGACATTAATCTCGAATATTGTACATGCTCATGATAAATATAGTATCGATTCACAAGTACGTCTTGCTATCGATAGTCTATCAACATATCCTGTTGCAATGCATTGTAACATGATAAATCCACTTGGAATTGTTCGACAACTATATAAATCAATACTATCATTTATTAGTTCTTCACCTGATTTTCGAATATTAACTCTTAATGAACAAATTTCACTTGTCGAACGAAATTTACATGGTATTATCGGCTTAAGTGAAACTTTCTTGTTTCGTAATACAGGCATTCTTCATAATCCATCATGTATGGAAGCATTTACAATCGTTTATGAATCAGACATGATGTTAATAGCAAAAAATTTGAATGAAAGATTAGATTCTGATTCAACAGTAGTAAAACTAATTCTTTTCATATTAGGTTTCTCGTCGAATTGTTTAATTTTGAATGTAAATGAAAAAATAGAAGATGATCGTCTATCATATGGAACATTCCGTCTCTTAGGAAGTCAAAATGTTTATGTAGAACTTTTATGGAAATATATGATTTATCGATATGGTTATTACGATTCAGTACTTCGATTTTCTCGGCTTATACAGATGTTTTTATGTGTCCTAGAAAATTTGTCGATCGTCCATAATTCCAATGAAGCTCATCGAAAAATGGCTAATAATGCCATCGCAGAAATCAAACTATCACTTACTATGAATGTTAATGAACAAACTCTATTATGGGGAAAGATATAATCATCCTCTTATAAGAAGATATCTTTCCATTCTTTTCGTTTTCTGTAAATTCAAGAAAATTATTAAAAATAAATCGATGTTTAGTCCATAGTCATTATGATGACTTAATAATTTTTATTTAAATAAGCACATTATTCGTTGTATTTATTGATACATTCTGAAGATCAGTTCGAAAGGCATCAGAGTCTTAGTCTTAACCCTTTGACTACGGGATTATTTTTATATAGTAAAAGTTTTTATAATTTCAAATTAATATTTATTTTGCACAAAAATATTATTCAATACATTCATATGAAGTATTGCTTCTTGACTTGGCTCTCCTCACAGCATTAGCACAAGCGTAATATTTCGTTAGATTCACCTGACTTGCTGTTGATGCAGTGCACGAAGGAAAATGTCGCGCTATGAGTCAGAGTAGACTTTCAGAAGGTGGTCGACTGGTGTCCTTGATGACCTTTTATGTCAAAAAGTACACTTTGTATAATTTATTAAATACGATCAACTGATCAGAATCCTTCCTATAGATGGCACTCTTGAACGGTTTTCGTAACATGAAATATTCTTTCGGGAGCGATGACTCTTTCTCAAGAAATGTCGTCTAATTGGCTCATGTTCTTATTCATTAAATTAAGTGCTGATTGCCAGAAATATTAAGGGACAACCAATAATCATCACTATATACGGATAATCTTAACCGTAGAAATATCCTAAGCGCAAATACTCATGCAATTGATATCATTAAATAATCAGCAGATTGTAGTTTTTCAAGTTACTCAGATCCCAAAATGCCAGGACGCGAACTCACATCGTCCGTATTCAATGGGTTAAAAGATTGAAAAATAAAAGAGTAAATTGTCACAATATTTTCATATATGAAATATTCATTAAGTTGAATTAATTGATAAATGTTTAAGAATAGAAAGTGCTAATGAAAAGTTGTCATGTTGATAAAATTCAACAATGTTCTACGCTTCTTTTTGAATACATATCAGAAACTTGAACACAACAGTAAACCAACCGTTGAAGTTATTTGAATTTTCTATAGATGTCACATAGGACTTTGCAAACATTTTCAATTGTTTTTTTAACAAAGAAATTAGCTATCGTTATGTAAGCATCGGTAATATTCTGTTCAATAGTCTCTTACTGTCTTTTTCATGTCTAAAAATATCTACTATCATATTCGTCAAATTCGTAGACACAAAGTTTCGATAAAGTTTAAGCAAAAACAATCAAAATCAAGATCAACAATATAGATATTTGAAAAACATTGGCACAAATGTTTTTGATAAAGAGTACTCGTGAATGTGCTAAGTTCAGGATACTCTGCTATCGATATGTCACAGAACCCTTGGGATACTTTTGAATTTTTAGCACTAAGATAGCTCGGTGAACATTGATAATTACCTATGTACTGGAACAATATTCTCAACAGGGCATCCAAAAAGATCCTGTGACATGGTGAGAACGGAGCATCCGAAAAGGCACCCTACTGGCAATGGACCCATTACACGGGTACCTTGAAGTCAGTACATTCACTAAAGTGACTTCTCTTTATAATACAAAATATTTTATGAAGGATTTTCTCTTTTTTTGAAATATGTTCATCGAAAAACACATGTACTTCAGAAAGCATTTGTAATGATCTTTTCTTTGAACACTGAAGAATGTCTCTGTATATACAATTAAATTACACCTTACGTTAGTACATGTTTAATTTTAAGAATACATTGTTATAAAATAATAATTTTTCCATGCATAAATTATTACAGAAAAACTTGATAATCTAATTTTTTATGCAATACATTCCTGGACAAGTTTTTCCCTCTCTACTGCTTCTTTTCGTATGGAACCTCTTTGGTCTCAAGTAAATGTTTGTTACAAGACTAACTTAAATACTGTCTATTAGTATAATGTATAATTAATTACGACCTATTTCAATACAAAATTGACGTCATTAAATATAATCGGTCAACACTACAAATGAGTTGGCGGATAGAATACTTCATGGTTGAATTATCTCTTTTTTTTGTATTATGCGAATGTTTCACTAGTTTTAATTTATCTGTATTTATGTAATCGACTATACCGTATTGCCAGAGATGCTTCGATTCGGGGACGAAGGAAGTTTAATGATCCGAACCAGTAAAACAGTTGTCAAATCCAAAGAAAAAAAAGAGATAACCCAATCGTGAAATATTCAGTCAATGAAATCATTTGTAGTGTTGCTCAACCGTATTAAATGACGTATATTTTTCATGGAAGCAAATTCTTATCAATCATACACTACAATAAAGTACTGAAGCCATCCTTATAACTAACATTCACTTGAGACCAAACAGGTTCTAGACGAACAAATGAGGGTGCGTGTGTGTGTGTGGAAAGTAGAGACCTGCGGAGGACTCCGAAACCCGATTCCAACTCCGACTCCGACTCCGTCGGAGTCGGAGTCGGGTTTGCTGAAAAAAATTTTTCGGGTTCGGAGTCGGAGTCAGTTACAAGTTCGACTCCGATATTTTTTTTTTCGATTTACCAAAACTTAATTTTTAACATTAGTAAATAGAAAAATAAAGCGTAATATATGTCACATAGATTTATATCACTTGTAGGACAGAAAGATGAGCGAATCACTTTCCAGTTATAACACTCGAATGATCAAGTGAGATGAAAACATAACAACATTAGTCAAAAAAGATATATTAATGTCATTCAAAGTACTANCGATTTTTGTGATTTATGATTTTGTTTTTTATGCTGTTTTGGAGTTATCCATTCTCCTTTATTAATTTCTTCTTCAGATGATGTTTCGGGGTTGCTATTTTCATATGTGCTAGTTAATACTGAGTTTCTTTTACGTGGAAGCATCTCTTGGCTTCCGTTTTTGCTCAAAGTTATATCGATTTTGATATAATATTTGTAAATTGAATAAAATTGATATATTGAAAAAAGCAGCCGAAAATTAGCGATTAGAATTTGTTCTATTTCAACACAATTCTGAAAATTATTTTTTTCCTGTGCAAAGAAGATATTTCTAGGTTTTCTTTTAAATAAATACAAACTCATTAATTTACTTTCGTTTAATTGATTGATATTCAGAATATAAAATTAAATGGTTAAATACCATTGTTTATTTATAAATTAGATAAGCACATAGATAAGATGATATAAAAAAAAATAGACAACAATAACATTGCCCACGAGTACAACAGATGTGAAAAGCGATTATATAATATTGCAAGACTACATATATAGAGTAAGAGATATTGTAGAATATTTCTTCATATCAAATGGGTGAAGCTTGTTGATTTGCACTTGAACCAAATCGACTGTTAAGTTTACTGACTATAGCTGCCAATGCCATAACATCAGTCATATCAAGTACACCATTACCATTTCGATCAACAGCTTTAAATAAAGCTTTAGATACATCTAAACGTATCAAAACATTATAAATAAATAAATAAATGATTTAATCATAATAAGAAATACGAACGTGGTGAAACAGAACCAAGTCCTAATCCTTGAAGAAGAAGTTGAATATCTTCGATAGTAATTTTACCATCACCATTTTTATCAAGTGCTTTAAGGAAACTTTGCAACTGTTGAGCATTTTCATAAGTTGTACCTGATTTTAAGTATTAGTATCACATAAAAGGAAGATAATTTAATTACATACCAATAGTGTCAAAAATATTGCCCCCACCGCTAGTGCCACTACCACCAGTTCCTTTGCCACCGGAGAACGTTTTATAAACTTTCATTGCATTATTAATCATATCAGTCGAACTAGCGCCACCACCGCTACTAGCACTTTGTCCTTCTCCTCCACTGCCACTTTTATTACCCGAAAACATTTTGTAGGCATTCATTGCTCCACCGAATAAATCACCAGAACCTTTGCTTTGTCCTTTGCTACTGCCACCACTGAACTAAACAAAACAGCAACATGGAAATATTGATAGATCTTTATCGTCTCGAAGAAAAACTAGATTTCTGTTTCAAATATACCTGATTGAGAAATGATGATCCCATTGATATGAAATCAGGTTGTTGCCCACCGGCTGCTTGTTGACCACTTGCATTATTAACATTACTTTCTGTAGCAGCTTCTTGATTAACCTTATTTCGAAATTGATTCACGAACGAACCGACATCATTGATACCCACTTGTCGAAGCATATCGTCTAGTTTACCATTTTCCAGTTGTTCACGGCCAAAATTCATAAGATTCATTATATCGTTTTATCTCTGAAAAACAATATTGAAAAAACAAATTATCTAATCATTATAATTTAATTTTTTTATCCATTCATAATATTAAATAGATGAACTTAGACAAAAAGAATGAATGCATTATAGAGAATTACATCCCATTATTTATCTCTCATATGTACTTTGAATTGTTTATCTCTAATTGATTTATTTATCATAAAAACGAATAAATCTTTTTAATTTAAGCTTCTATTCATTTTACAAAAGGAAAGGATTGCTCCGAATGTAAAATCTTTTGACAGAAAGACAATATACATCTACGTCTCGAAATATCTTTTAATCAACTAATACTGAAGTCAATAAAACAATTACTTCGACATTTGCTTTCTGATTCAAAAACAAATAACGCAATAAATAGTACCAATTGTAATTGAAAAAATAAACATTCAGATTTTATTCAAATTACTTACGATTCTACCTCGAATTATCAATAAATATAACTCAACATCATCAGAAGAATTAATAACAAAAATTTGAAAAGGTTACACGGTCTAACAACTGGTTCATAATAAATCAACCTCCCATGTCACAAAAACCGGATCAGTTTTAGCGGTAAACCGAAAAAACCGCGGTGAGCCGCCGGTTTTCACTACATGGGCTCTCAATATTTAGCATATTTCTCATGAGACTTTCAACATTATGGAACAGTTCCTTCTTCTGATTGGTTCATTGTTAGATCCTCTACAAATTTGCATGTTGCACTTAAATGGAACAGTATATCTTAGTTATTTTGACTCAATGAATACGAATGGATTCAGAATACGTCACTCTCAAAGCTTTTTGCACTTGTTTTTGTAAGTGATTTTATCAGTCTTTCTTTTGACTATACAATATTCTTCTCAACTATCGGCTCGACACTAGCTCTAATCAAGTCTTCAAAAGAATTGAAGACTTACCTATTTGGGCAAATGACTATTAATGATACTCAATAGGATAGAAATTAGCACAACTCCTTTGAAACGTTGTGCATATGGTTACCTTTATCATTGTTGCGGTTTTGATTTCATAAAAGAGAGCATTACTTTTTGTTTTTGAAGAACAATCAATATTCTTCTATGAATAATCAAAAGAGCAAGAATGTCAAAAATGACCATATGTGCAAAGTTTCAAAGGAATTATGCCAAATTCTATCTTATTGATTAACAATAATGATCATTTGCTTAAATATATCGGTAAGCTTTCAATAGTTCTGAATACTTCATTAGCGCTAGTTTCGGGTAGATAATTGAGAGAAATGTCGTGTCCTTACAAGAAAAGCTGATAAAATTACTACTAAAAGCATAGATAAAAAGCTTGATAAGAAAAAGAATTTAAAAAAAAATGACGTATTCTGAATCTATTCGTTTCATTTGATCTAAACAAATAAGGTATGCTGCTTCGTTTAAGTGGAAAATATAAATTTGTAGAAAATCCAATGATAAATCTATGAATAAAAGTTATCCCATTATGTTGAAAGGCTCCTGAGAACTATGCAAAATACTGAGAGATTCATTCGTTATGGACTACTCGTTAACAGGAAAATGTACAGAAAGAAAGAAAGCAGCTTCCACTTTTTTTCTACACATTTTTGTATTAGTACGTGTAACTTTCTATGTTTATCATTGACTCTTCTGATAATACTGAATGATTCTCTTTGAAAGCTCAAGATAAATTCAAAAATAATTATAGTAAAATCTAAGTCTTTTTTCATTGCAGTTAGGTATTATTTATTTCGTTATTTATTTTCAGCGGCTACATCAATTGATTTTCTTTAAAAAAATGCATGATGATAACGACGTACTTCATTTAAAAACATAAGAAAAGATAATGGAAAATATTCAAAATCACATAAGCACTTATCTTGTAAAGTACTCTACGCATTCTCTTGTAGTTGACATAGAAAAACATAAGGAAGAAAACAATTATATCATATGTATTTAGATCTAAAACGAAATACGATTTAAATAATCTATGGATAAACTAATATGTAAAGATTATTTTATGATATTGGTCGAAACTTCTGTTTGTCCATCTTTACAATAATGATTTCTTTATTTAAAGACAGATATGTTTCCTTATTTTGGGATCCATTGATTAATAGTGTCCTATTTATAAATCGATACAAACAAAAACAATCTTTGTAGCGATCTTGATTTTTCTGGTTTCTTGTTTGGAACCATTCTGATTTGTTTTTGTTTTGTCGAATGATTCTGATCCTCTTCTCGATTTTTATAATGCTTTTTCAAAAAGCGACGAATATAAAAAAAAAGATACAAGATTATTCGCCAGAAAAAAGCAAATCAGAAGCCACTAGGATATATGAAGAAAGAAAGAAATGATAAAAACTTTTATCTTCTAATAATAGGTTTATCTAAGGAAAAATTTCGTAACAAATCCATACTATTCTGCTAAATTCCTTGATCCAGTCTATCAAATTTTTAATACTTTGTCTGAACTATTTACAACACACACAATAGCGAATATTATAATTTGTTTATACCAAACAATTTCCTTACGCAACTAAAAATTTATAGAACTTAGTAAAACAACGTTGAATCTATTCATCTATGCGTTAAGAATATTAAATATTAATATTTTGAACATTTGAGAATGAAAAAAAAAAAGAAATTTTGTATCGAAGCTAATGATGAAAAATGTTACCTAATCGATGACTTAATTAAATGTAACATGACACGATCAAAAAAGAATCCATATGAAATGTAGAAGGAAAAGAAAAGAGCATTAGATCTTAAGTGGTTGAATACTCATTGATAGTTTTCTCTTTTCAAATGTAAAATATTTACGGTAGTTTGATTTGCTGTATATACAACATCATTACAAAAAAGAACTATTTACCAAAGATGTCGCCAGCGTTAGGCTCAAAAAAACCTGGTAATATAATCAAACATTTGTCAACATAATACATCTTTCTAGTTTTGAATTATTATAAAGGATGATCAAAGTCTTTGAAAGAAACAACTATCAGTAATTTAACTTAGTTACCCAAGATTATAATCATCATTGAAATAATATATAATATAGGTAAACAAAATAAATCATCCAATTTACGTAACAACAAAAGGAACGTTAGCAGCAGATTCGAGTAATCTTTGTTCACATGCACTTCTAGACATGGTTTCGATCTTTCTGTCCGTTATTTGCTTGATTTTGAATGTATATGATATTTTAGGACTAGCTTGATATTTTCTTCAGTTCGAACAAATTTCTTCTCGTTTCATGATCAAGGTGTAAAACAGAAAAACTAAAATAGAGTGAGCCGGTTTACTTCAATTCTTTTTTATCTGAATTAATTAGAATAAAAATGCGCAAGAAAAATATAAGCTGTTGTTGTACAGCGTCGAATATGATACTAAATTTTTGCTTCGTATTGTAAACTCTGCCATACTTATCTTCTATCTTCCTTCTATATGCATGCATCTTCTCGTTGTGTTCTTTTTTCCAAATACATACATGCATATCATTATACAAATACAATTCTCTCTTCATGTTTCTCCCTCTTCAACCAAAGGTTCATTGATGCTACTGGATGTATACAAGAGAAACGTAATCGATTGAAATAATGTAGTTTTTTAGAAGAGAACAGACTTTTGTCGCTGTGATCTGTTGTCCCTATTCATCGTGTTTCTTGCAAGTTCCATTGATTGTCAGCCACTTCCCACAAAAGTCACATTTCTCTGTCGATTCCTCTTTCAAGCTACTCTATCTTTCACTGATTTTCTGTTTTCAAGAAGATTTTTTGTTGTCAAGTATTCTGTGAAATATTTTTTGAATAAAAGATCGACAGAAACATACTAAATAATTTTACAATGGAATCATTGGAGGTATAAATGATATCTAACTAAAATAAACCACTATATATATGTGATATTCGATAGATTCACAAATCTAATTCTTGTTTTCTTTGCATGAGGAGATGAATTTTTACATGAGACTTAAATGGGCATATTTCATAAAATCAATAGTCATATGATAAACACTTCCTCTCGTCAAAATTGCTCGCCCTCGTAAATGAAAATTGTATTTTGAAAAAAAATGAAGTACAATTTACATTGTGAAGATCACAATATCGATCAGAACTGCTATTTGTTGAAAGTCATTTACTAACCGAAACGAATAGAATTCATAGACGCATTAATTTACATATATTAGTCTTCTCTCCTATTGTTAATAACATTATACAGTAAAAACTACACAAAAACATCAAATTTACCATGATGAATTCGCTTCATATTTTCTCTAATTATATCACACATTGTCAATATCTAAGAAAAATGCATCCGTCATTTATTTACGTCTCTCTGAATTTCATTGATTTGTTTTTTTGGTAGACCTGTCAGATTAGCATTAGTATTAAAACTAACTTTAATCCTTCGGGTATTATTTGAATTAGAGTTAATTAGTGCCAAGCTGTTAACATTACATTACCATCATTTTTATTTCTAATACATATAGTACCTACGACTCTATCTTCAAGAGTCCATCTTCGAAAGCTTCCCATAATAGAACAATATTGTTCGACATTGGATGCTTCTCAGCTTAGAGTATCCAAGATCTGGTTGATACTAATCTACGTTTTAGAATTAAAAATAGTACTAATTTAATCCTAACAGCTTGTCATTACTAAATTCTAATGGAAATAATACCAAAGCATTAAGACTAATATTAATACGAAACTCCTATAGTATTTGGATTTAACGCAATAAATTTTAATGTGGCTAATTTAGCGACAATAGGCGTTATGAGGAAAAATATGTAAATAAGAAGCAGAACATTTCTAATCTCTTCAATAGTGATGACTGCTGCTATAAAAATCCATTCGTAATTAATTAAGAAACACTAGAGCTCTCGCTTGGTACTCGACTTCTTGACAACTTGTCAATGCTTCCATGGAAAATCGAAAATATCATACTAATCGATAAATCTCACTGTATTGTATATCACTTAATTCTCTTCTCAATCAT